AAGACTGAGGTATCGATTAGGTTAAAGGTAGCATAATTAGGGGAGTGGCCTCTTTGACTGACAGGTGTCTGCTTGGGTTCACCCCAGCTCCACCTTCATCCCATCTGGTCACCTCTGGCCTCACAGAGCTGCAGATCACCTGCCCCCAGCTTAGAGGTCACAGTGCCCCTGGTGGAAGCACGCGGTACTGGAGTGAAGTACAGGATATCAGAATATGTGGGAAGCCCTTTAAAATAAAAGCTTGTGGAGAATGTTGGAGGTGAGTCACAGATTGTGACGTTTTCCTTTTCTCTCTCGTGCAGGATGGAGCTCTCCGCTTTACTTCATGACCTTCATCTCTCCTCCTCCTCAGAGGAGCAGTCCCCTTCCTCTCCTCCTCCAATCACAGAGCTCCTTTCTCAGCTGAGGGAGAAGCTGATTGGTTCCCGTCCCAAATCCCACTATCTGATTGCTCAAATAAAGCAGCTTTTCCAGTACGCTGGATCTGACTGGCTGTTCTCTCCAGCCAGCCAGGACAGTAGGTGGGCGGAGCTTGAAGCAGCATACGTCTCTCTGATCAGTGCTCTGATTGGCTGTGCCGCTCTGCCGCTCTGTGAGGATGACTGCAGCCCTCTGAGCGCTGCGGCCTATCAGAGCATCCCCACACAGGCAGCGGCGGTGTGTGCCGCTCTCACGGCTCTGCTAACAACTCTGGGTGACAGGCGGAAAGGGGGCGAGGCCAGAGAACGGACAAGCAGTCTGTTACTTGCTGTTGCTCCACCCACCTGCGTGTTTGCCGTCACACATTTCCAGGTGAGTCTGCAAACATCAAACATGCACCTTTGCAGCACAGGTACTTCCTGTCTGACGCCGTGATGCATTCACTGACAGCTGTTTGATTTCCAGTGTGCTTTTGTTCATCAGGATCAGGTGTGGACTAGCTCCGCCTCCAGAGCAGCAGCACGGGGCCTGCTGGAGACGCTGCTGAGTGCAGGAGGGTGGAGAGACTCCGCCCACCTGCTGACTGGGGACACGGAGGGGAGCAGAGGGATTCTGGGAGGAGTCCTGGACATCCTGCAGCCACAGCTCACCAAGTGAGTGTGTGTGTGTGTGTGT